GCATGGAAAGTGGTTTGGTGTCTTGGACAAATAGGGAACAAGGGGTCAGAAGAGCTGAGACATTCCTCAGGCACAAGGCAAGTCAATAAACCCCTTAGTCTCTCCGTCTGCAAATGGGAATGATGCCTACAGCAGGTATGGGTAAAGTGAAATAAAGTATGTGAAAATGTTTTGTTGTTACAAGTATTTGAGAGAATAAAAAAACTGTAAAGATTATGATCGACTCAAAAGATCACAAGGTTTAAGCTAGAAGTTAAAAATAGCTTCGGTTGTCATCGTTTATTGAACACATACTCAGTCCTGTGCTGCTGGCCTTATGAATATGGTTTTGTAATAAGCTCCTGACAGGTATAATTACTCTCATTTGTTTTTGTTTTTTTTTAATGCAAAGGTATTTCTCTTTATTGCATGTTTATGCAACTGCTTTGTAAACATGATTCATCACATCTTTGTTTTGTGCTTTTTTCAGACTCATGGTTCTTTGAAATATGGACTCAGTCATGATTTAAATTTTACTTTTGTTTGTTCTTCATTTATTTTTAATGAACTGCCTCTTACAGAAAAAAAAAATAAAATCAAGGTGTCAGCAGTGCTCCTTCCAGAAGTTGTAGGGGAAAGTTTGTTTCCTTGTCTTTTTCAGTAGCTAGAAGAAGCTTCAGTAGCTTCCTTGGCTTGTCACTCCATCTACCTTTAGAGCTAGGCCTGTTGAGTCTTTCTTGTGATGCCATCTTCTCAGTTCTGATTCTTCTGCTTCCCTCTTCCTGATTTAATGGATCTTGTGATGACACTGGGCTCACTGGGATAATCCAGGACAGTCTCCTAGCCTCCATACTTTAAAGTCAGTTGGTGAGCAACATTAATTCAGTCTACAACCTCACTCTCTTTGTCTCATGCCCACAGTTTCCAGAAGTCAAGTCCTGGACATCTCTGGGAGGCTGGGGAAATATTATTCTACCTAGCACAGATCTGCAGTTATGTTTTTTCATATCTATACATCTGATCTCCCCAATTGGTGGTAAGCTCCTATGAATGTGGAGGTAAATCTCATATTCACTAGCACTGAACAGTGCCGACAAAGTGGCTGTGCTAGTGGGCCACTGAATTTCCAAGGTGACATGAAAAGACTAGCTTGGAAAGCAACCTGATTCTTACCCAGGGGCTCTCTCCCCTGCACCACTTTGCATCAAGAAGTGCATCTTAATTCTGACCTATCTGGCAGCGTAGGTGGCCATGTTCTCGTACCTGATCTGCCATATGAAAAATCAGCCACCGGGTGGCAGCGCTGCAGTCTCTCAGGCAGTTGAGAAGCCTCGGGATGTTGTCCAGAACCATCTCCTCCCTCAAGTAACCTTCCTTCAGAAATTGTACATGAGAGTGCACTCTTTCACTGACAGTCGCATATCCGCTCGCTTGTTTTTTGACGTTTGAAAGGTCCAGGTTCAGGGTATTGTTTAAAGAAGTTTTTGCAGCTTTGTAAGGTTCCCAAGCATCTGCTGGATTAACTGTGATCCCCATGTAAATACTAATTACCCAATTATCTAGAAAGTATTTATCCACCATCTCCCTCATTTTTGCTTGATGGGTGTGCAGGATGGAGGGCTCGAAGTAGAGAATCATGTAGAGCGTGGCTGTTTGCGTGGCCAGGGCTGTGCTGCCATGGTCCGGCAAAGGATAGGCGGAGACCTGGTTATAAATATCGTCAGATCTTGGTCGACCTATGACCATACTGATGAAAGATTCATTGACAGGCACTCTCTGGAAGTAGCTCTTGGGGTAGTTGGGTGGTCTTTTGGCTCCTGCTTGGCTGGAATAACCTGTACTTTGAATCAGTTTACAATTAGCATCCATATTTGAGTCAGCAGAAGATCGGGCAGTGCCGTTATCTGTAGTAGGAAACCAGCATTCTCTCTCTGACAGTCTTTTGCTCCATGACCAGCAACATAACTACATACAAGTACAACGCTTCACAGAGAAGTCGTTTTCCTTCTTCATTGAGAAGCACAGTTTCTAAGGTTTGCTGAATATAAACACCTTCATTGAGATCATCTAGATATCTGTTTAAGTCTACAATATATTTATGCACACTCTGAAATGCTAAATAAAATCTGGTCACAATTTCAATATTGTTTTCATGAAATTCTTCATCTAAATCTTGTAGCTCTGGATTAGCTTCAGCTTGCTTTCCCATAACTCTGGACCTTTAAAACAGCTGAAGTCAAATACGATATTCCATATTTCTGTTGATCAGCACCGTCTTTTAACCTGAACACAGCAGGAATAAACTCTGAGAGCCTCAAAAGTTCGGCGATGATGGCATTGCCACAGAAAACAATCCTCAGGATGGCCTGGCCACAGAGGTTGTTCTCAGCTAGGAAGTCCAGCATCGCGAGGATGGATCTACTCTGTGCCCGGCCAGTGGGAATGTTTAACTGGCTTCAGAGCTGAGGTCTGTAAATCACGAGATGAAACCAGGTGTGCAGATAGGCCAGCTGCTCCATTAAAGAACCTGTCACCGGGCAGCACCAGAGTGGCTGGGCAGGGCCAGCGATGTGCACCAAGTGGGCACCAAGGGGCACCCCTTGTGGCCCCAGCCCCAGCTTCCGCCCTTGCCACCCCGCCATCACATGACCAAAGGGCTATTCTCATTTGTTAAGTGAAGAAATGGAGTCTCGGAAAGTCTAAGTGGCTCAAAATCTCTCAATTTATAAAAGTTACAATATAAAAACTGTGACTGTGAAAAGAACACATAGTAACATGAAAAGTGTTCAGAGAAATCTGCAAAATAAAAAATTAATTTTAGGCATGAAAAATGTATGTGGGTAGAAGCAAAGATAGAAATAAAAGCATACCATGCATCTGACTGATGCAATATGAATGCTTTTACATTTTTAATATTCTTTGTTCTTAAAATGTTTGTCAAACTGGGGAGGATATTATAACAAAAGTAATTCAAAGACTAGTCACTAAAATTTCTTCTAAAATATTGTCTTCCTGGGCCTCCCTGGTGGCACAAGGGGTTAAGACGCAACCTATGAAGCTATCCACAGCCACTACAGAATGAGTCCAATCCCTGGCCAGGGAGCTACCCACATGGCACAGCAGACCTCTCCTTCTCCCCCGCTGCTCCCCTCAGCAGTGTACTTCAGTCAATCTGCCTGTTCTGTTCCCCACTCTGTCTCTGGTGAATCCTTTCACCCCCTGCACCTCTGTCCTATATGCCAGCTCTTGCATGCATAAATAAATAAATCTTTAAAAAAAAATAAAACATTGTCTTCCTCATATCAATGTTCTCTAAACTTTCCAAAATCCAGCTTTCTCCAGTATAAAGTCAACATACTCTATGTTCATTTTCTGCTGACTTCACCCTAACTTTGCATAGTCCCCCCAGGTCTCACCCAACTCATCATATCCAGTACCTAAGTTCCTTCCCTACACTTCAGTAAGTAGTTTTCTGATCATAGATTCCCCTATCTCTGTGATCCCTGAACAGCCCACCATTTCTGATATTTTTATCAACTATTTGACATGCCTCTAAGTTCATATATATGCATATATAGTATTACTCCTTTGCATGTTGCTTTTGTACCCCTGTGTGTGCTATCAGGTCTGGGTGTGTAAGCAGAAACTGTCATAGACAGGAAACAAACAGTAGCTACTCTGTGAATGGAAGAGGAGTAAAGAAGCCATTCCTGGAGTGTTCTTCCCACACGGCGCAGAGATTGCCCCAAATGCCAGGGGCTGGGTACTAGGGGGATAACCCCTCCACTTGCTGCAGCCTCCATGATATTTCCAGAAGGTTCCTCTGTCTGGGAACAGACCCTCCCTCACAAGTGCCCTGCTTAGCCTGGACTGTTGCTAGAATGTCCTTTAAGAGCCCTGGACCACGGCCAAGGGGCAGTTTGGGCTCTGTATTCTTTACTGTCTCCTAAGAACAAAAGTAAAACAGTTCTAGGTTGACTTTATTATGGTTGGCCTATTTTTGACTAGAGTAAGACACTGTAAAAGGGCCAGCAAACTAACTCCAGCCTTATCCTGGGTAAATAGAACTGGAAGACATAGAATACACAGAATGTTACCAACCGAAAGGGGTGGGCTGAGGGGTTGGGGTGGAAAGTGTGGGTGTGATGTAAATAGGTATATGAATGGTCAGGGGCAGTTGGGATGAAGAGGTTGGAAGCACTTGCCCCTCATGCCTCCGACAAACTGCCTAGAAATGCCCTGCTAGGTCTGAGCAGAGCCAGAGTGAACTTCCTCAGGCAGAAGTGCGCCAGCACAGCAGCAGAATGGAGTCGGGCTCACTAGCTTCTAGTTTTATATACTCCAGCATGGCGCGCCTCCTTTTTCAGGTATAAATTGGGCGCAGATTCCAGGAAATCAGACCCCTCTGTCCTGGGGGTCAGAGGGAAATGGCCCCTCCATTTCCCCCACGTCCAACCGTTCCAGCAGCCCTGGGGAGGTCGGGGGAAGGTGGAGGCTAGGGAATTCCTGCACTTTGGGGAACCTTCTCCAAGACTAAGGTCCTCTCCGCACCGCGGAAGCAGGGACCAGCCTTGCGGGTGGTGGCAGCTGCCCTACACCACCCCGCCCCCAGACGCCGCCGGGCTCCAGAGTCGCCGGCGTGGGTTGGGGGAAACTCTCCCAAGTGCGCCCCTGCGCGCGGACACTCGGCTGCGCTTTCGGGTTCCCAGCCCTGTGGACAGCCAGTTGCCCTGGGGACGGAGACAGGAGGCGGGAGGGCCTGGCGCACCCAGCATTCCGGTCTCCTGAGTGATCCACTCTTTTTCCCTCTGCTGGAAAGGAGGTCCACGAAGTCTCGCGGCACAGCGCCAAGGAAGGGGCTGCGACCCGAACGAGGAAGCAGGCAGAGCGAGCTGCGCCCCTCTCTGATCACCCCCTGCCTGCAGCGCCGGCTCCCGCGCCCTCGCTCGCCCGGTCCCCGCAGAACCCGGGCACCGCGCGTGCGTCTCCAGCGGGGCACCCGGGATCCCGCGCCGCGCGCCATGGAAGCGGCTAACCTTTCGGTGGCGGCGGGCGGCCTCGCCCTTCCCCCGCAGCCCGAGGCGTTCAGCAGCGTCCCGAGCCAGGGCGGGATCCTCGGGTCGACCCCGGGCGGCGCCTTCCCTCCGGGCAGAGAGCCATCCTTTTCCGTCTTCACCGTGCTGGTGGTGACGCTGCTGGTGCTGCTGATGGCAGCCACCTTCCTGTGGAACCTGCTGGTTCTGGTCACCATCCTGCGCGTCCGCGCCTTCCACCGCGTGCCGCACAACTTGGTGGCCTCGACGGCGGTGTCGGACGTGCTGGTGGCCGCGCTGGTGATGCCGCTGAGCTTGGTGAGCGAGCTGTCGGCTGGGCGACGGTGGCGGCTGGGCCGGGGCCTGTGCCACGTGTGGATCTCCTTCGACGTGCTGTGCTGCACCGCCAGCATCTGGAACGTGGCCGCCATCGCCCTGGACCGCTACTGGACCATCACGCGGCACCTGCAGTACACGCTGCGCACCCGCCGCCGCGCCTCGGCGCTCATGATCGCGCTCACCTGGGCGCTGTCGGCTCTCATCGCCCTGGCGCCGCTGCTCTTTGGCTGGGGCGAGGTGTACGACGCTCGGCGCCAGCGCTGCCAGGTGAGCCAGGAACCCTCCTACGCCGTCTTCTCCACCTGCGGCGCCTTCTACCTGCCGCTTGGCGTGGTGCTTTTTGTCTACTGGAAGATCTATAAAGCGGCCAAATTGCGCTTTGGCCGCCGACGCCGGGCTGTGCTGCCGGTGCCCGCCAACGTGCAGGTGAGGGGCGGCGGGAGGAACTGGAGGGGAAGGAGTTCGGGTGCGGGGAGGAAGAAGTTCAGAGAAAGGAGAAGTTGGCAGCGGAATCCTGCACTTTTGGGGCGCGAGCGAAATGTTGGCCACTAACGCGGTTGCACGCGCGGGAGCTCGCCATCTGCTCTCCAGAAGCGCTCCCCGGGGGGCTCGTGTGCACCCTGCGCGCTTGGAGGCTTAGTTCCCTGCATGCCTGGTGCCGGGCGAGAAGAGCTTTCAGCACTTGCACACTAGGGCTGAAGCTGGTGCAGGCGCTGGCACACCATCAGGCTGGAGGGGGCTGGCAGGTACAGCCTTTCTGGGAGAGCGGAGGGCCCTTCTGTACCTCCTGTCACCTTTCCCCAGGAGTGGTTGTGTCCGTAGGATTCCCGCAGCCATCAACTGCTTAATCTGGGCTAGAAAGAGAGGGTAGCAGTGGCTGGTAACTGGTCTGGTGGTCGAGGAAATTTCTGAAACCTTTCACTCCTTGTTTTCGGTCTACACCACTCTACTTTGCAGTCCAAAAAGTGTATCTTCCAATTCTGCAGACTGACTCTGCAAAAGGGCTCCGAGGGAGCTTGAGGATTAAACATAGCCCTGGTGTGCCTTTCCTTGCCCTATTCCAGTCTCCGTGGCACGCTCTAGTGACTGTGGAACAACATAAAACTGTGGGTTCAAATCCCAGTTGGGGGATATTGAGGGCTGTTACTGAATATCCATGGGCCTCCCTTCCTCATTTTTAAACAAGTTAATTCCAACTTCATAAGGTTTTGGGTGAGGATGACTTTAGATGATGAATGAAGCACTTGGCACAAGGTGGGTGGCATAAGGTTTCACATTCTTCAACTCTGAGATGGATGGAGGAAGCTGCATTTGGTAGAATTTCTCTGCTTTGTAGTCACTAATCTGTACAGAGCTTTCTGCACTTTCTCCAGGCCCTGATAGATGTCAGTCCCCTCCTCACCCTAGATGACGTGAACTTTCCTTTTTAGGCGTTCCAGGCATCCACATAACAGGCCCAGAGTCCTGGGAATTTACAGCATTTTTGTACTTTTCCAAGTACAAAATATGAGCCAGAGAAAGTGGAGGTGGGCATGAAAGGGGGAAAACAGACAGGGTACATTTTTATATGTTTTTCATTTTTTTTTTAATTTTAATTTTAGAAAGTAATCAGATGTGTTCTTAGGCTACTCAGCTGCATATGTTTTTAAAAGCAGGGTTCTTTTCTATTCATCAGATGGCAGAGGAATTTTGTAGCACAAAATAGGAATGTCAAGGATATAATTGGGAGTGTTGGTAGAGGAAAGCTCTATTCAGAATTAATGTTGTTCATTGAGAGGTCCTTTTGAAATGCCTGGGGTGATTATAGTTTTTCTGTCTGATTGCAGAGGCAGGGCTGACTTTTGTGAGTTACATCGCTCCTATATACACCCAGCGCAATCATGGTGGACTTGATGCCAGAAAGGCTTGCCAAGCCTGCATTTAGTGCTCATTTTTCTGTTAGTGATCATGGGCTCCATTTGGGCAGGTGACATAAAAAAGACAGGACTGAACCAGAGCCTGGCCAATCCTGGGTGGCCACTGGTCAGGAAAAAGATCTCTAGAGGCCAGGGGCAATATTCAGGTTTTGCCAGTCACTGCTAGTAGCACCCTGGGCAAGCCCCTGTCCCACGTTACTTCCCAAGTTCTCTTCTTTATTGCACAGAGTTGATCTGTTATGCCCGATGATCCTGAATCTTAGGATGCTGAGATTGTAGATGAGATGGTGTTTGGAAGTCTCATGCTTCTTTAAACTCCAGCCAACCCTCACCCAAATATCTGGGTAATGTTGCCGAGTCAGCCATTGCAAGCTTTCTGGCAAGAGGACACCCTATAGAAATAAAAAATAGGGCCTCCCCGGTGGCGCAGTGGTTGAGTACTGGGTTGCGATGCTGCCCGCAGCCTCTGCGGCGCCGGTTCGATCCCCGGCTGCTCCCCGGCCACCAGAGGAGGGTCCCACATGGCGCGCAGACCTCTCCTGCCGCCCGCTGCTCCCCTCAGCAGTGTACTTCGGTCCTTCTGCCTGCTCTGCTCCCCGCTCTGGCTCTGGTGAATTCTCTCACCCTCCCGGGCTTCTGACTGTACCCAGTGCATGTATAAACAAAACAAACAAACAAACAAACAAATAAATAAATAACATGCCTCTATTAAAAAAATAATAATAATAATATGCCAGGAGTAGTATCTCTCTGTCTTCCCCTATCAGCTTTTTCCTGCACTCTAGTTGAGAGTTGAGTTGAATTTCAATCCTGCAAAGTGTCTCTACCACTTTCTGTGGGTGAGAGAGGTACTTACCAGGTCTGCAGACCTCTGGCGACCATGCTGTGTACATCCCTTGTCTTTTTCAGGATTCTGTGGCTAGGTCCCGGCGTTAAAATAATATCACAAAGGGGTCTGTAACTGCTCCTGGGCAGGGATTAATTCTTTTGGGGAAAATGCAATTTTTTTTTTTAAAGATTTATTTATTTATTTATACAAGCACTGGGTACAGTGAGAAGCGAGGGAGGGTGAGAGAATTCACCAGAGCCAGAGCGGGGAGCAGAGCAGGCAGAAGGACCGAAGTACACTGCTGAGAGGAGCAGCGGGCGGCAGGAGAGGTCTGTGCACCATGCGGGACCCTCCTCTGGTGGCCGGGGAGCAGCTGGGGATCAAACCGGCGCCCTGGAGGCTTCGGGCAGCTTCGCAACCCAGCGCTCAACCTCTGCGCCACCAGGGAGGCCCCCAAAATGCAATTTTTGAAAGTAGAGAAGTAAACAAAGTTTTGCTGAATGAGTTCCCTCTTGCAGACACTGTTTCTGATGCTTTCATTCATCCTCTTACTTGACCCTCATGATTCAGTCAAGTTGGCTTTACGGTCTCATTAGACAGGACAAGCTAGCATAGGTTCAGTAATATGTGACCCCCAAACCTACAGTTCTTCATTCTCACCCAAAGCTCAGTGTGGGCCTGGCAGCCCCACTGCACGGCTCTTCTCCAGGCACTCACTCGTGGGGCAGGGCCCATATCATTGTTCACTATGCTGCCCAAACATATGGCTTCCATGTGGATGGAGACGAGATATGTGGAGACACAAAAGCCACTTTTTTTTTTTTTTTTTTTTTTTGTGGGACCCTCGCCGTTGGCGGGGGACAGGCGCTGCAGAGGCTGCGGGCAGCCTCGCAGCCCAGCGCTCAACCGCTGCGCCACCAGGGGAGGCCCAAGACACAGAAGCTTTTAACTGCCTTACCCTGAAGCAGCCACATGTCATTTCTGCTCACAGCCCATGGCCAGCCACAAGCTGTGAAATCTAAGGGAGGCTGGGAAAGGAGCCAGTGTTTGGTGAGCACTGACTGCCATTGCCACGCAAGCCTCATTTTCAGATGACAAAACCAAGGTGCCACACGTGAGGTCACCCAAGACCACACAATTATAAAGTGGGGGTGCTGGAATTTGCACCAGAACTAGAATCCCTGGTCTTTTCTTTACACTTCCCTGACTCTGTGCTGTCTCCAGAAACTGGACTTCCACAGGCCTCTCACTTTCACAGGGATGAGGCAGGCCATCACAGCCTAGTCAAGATATTTCACCAGGTGCAGAGGCTCAAACCTACACATGCAAAGTGTCTTTTCCAGGAGAGCGGGAGTCAGTTGGACACAGCGGCACTGCCAGCCAGGAGACAGGTGAATTCCCATGCTGCCAGCCTTTCTTCCAAACTTGTGGGCTGAGCATTAAGTGTGCAGTGTATTCTGCTTCCCACCCCCAAGCTGCCTTTGTGGTTTATAGCTGTTTCATACTGCCTGGTGCTCTTTACTTGTCCTTAGAGGAAGGAAAAAGCAGGGTCAATAGAAGTGACATATTATGACATCAAAAGTTTTGCTTTTCGGGGCCTCCCTGGTGGCCCAGGGGTTAAAGACACAGCACTATCAAGCTATCCCCAGCCACTGCAGCATGAGTTCAGTCTCCGGTCAGGGAGGTGACCCACATGGTGCAGCAGACCTCTCCTGACTCGTCTGCAGCTCCCCTCAGCAGTGTCTTTCAGTCAATCCACCTGTTCTGCTCCCCACTGTCTCTTATCCCCTGAATCTCTGGCCTACATGCCAGCTCTTGTATACATACATAAATAAATCTTTAAAAGAATAAAATAAAAAGGTTTGCTTTTCTTCTTTTCCACTGCTGTCTGATCTCTAGGCACAGAGAGGCCGAGGCCGAGGCCAACGCCAAGGCCCACTTGTTTATTAGCATGGTGGCCCAGAACTGAAAGCCACACATAGGTAGCGGCCCATGGCCATAGAAATGTCTAAATTTTAATTTCTTGTAAAATTAGAGGAAAATGAACATAATAGTAATGAATATATAGTAATGACCCCAGCCTCGATTTTATTAGCCTTTATAATATGGCCATAAAATATAATTTTTAATATTTTCTTTTTTTTAAAGATTTATTTATTTATGCACACAAGAACTGGAGTGTAGGCCAGAGTTGGGGGGTGGTGAGAGGATTCACCAGAGACAGAGTGGGGAACAGAACAGGCAGAAATACTGAAATACACTGCTGAGGGGAGAGCAGGCGAGTCAGGAGAGGTCTGCTGCGCCATGTGGGTCACCTCCCTGGCTGGCCAGGAATTGAACTCGTGCTTCAGTGGCTGCGGGAAGCTTCGCAGTGCTGTCTTAACCCCTTGCACCATCAGAGGCCCCAATTTTTAATATCTTCTTAATGGAAGAAGGGGCCCCCAGAGGCCACGGTGCCTAGGGCTCTCCTAGGTGCTTGCTCCGTTTCACTCATCCACTCTATCAATAAGTGTGTTGGGAGACTGTGAGCACAGTGGGTAAGAGCAGGGTTTTGGAAACAAAAGAGAGCTGAGTTTTCATGCTTTTTGTGCCACTGAGTCTCACTTTCACCAAGTGACTTAATCCAAGCCTGCATTTCCCTGTCAGTAAAATGGAAATATTGCCACCTGCCCCATAATATT